GGGGGGGGAGACCAGGTGCATGTTGCAAAAAATTAATTGTTACAGTGGATGAAGGGGGTGGGGGGAGGGGGTGTCTAATTTGACCCCGAGTCACCCACAACAATGCTGCTGGGTCTCCCCAGACCCGAACACCAAATCAAACACTTTTTTAGAGACCTTCAGACTTGGCTAGAATTATCCAAATCAGTTTTGTATTGTTTATAGCTGTTGTGGAGGATATCATGAAGCCTTGTTCCGATAAAAAAAACTAGAGGGTAGTTATTATAATTTTAACTTGAAACGGGTCACGGGAGACCCCAACACAACATAAGGGTTAATAAAATGTGTTGAAGTGACGACGTATGAACACGTGCATCCAACGCAGAGAATCGAGTTGATGTAATAACTGCATGAACCAGAGTGTGAAGCATTAAAGAAACAACTGCCCAACATGAGATCACCACAGCTCACCGTCACACTGCATCAAAGCAACAGAGGACACAAACAGATATGCAGATAGAGTACAAATAAAGGTAACACTTTATATTAAGGTACACATATTCAACATCAACTATATGTTGCATTACAATGCAAAATGCAATGTAATGTAATAACTAGTTAACATGCATGTTAGCAGTTTATTGGCACTTTATTAGTCATTATAAAACACGTATTAATGCCTTATTATGACCATATTCTACAAGTAATAAGCCATTAGTTGAGAGTTTTTCCTCAATAACCCTCTAATTAGTGCTTATTTGTTGCAAGTAAGGACGTTGTTGTACATGAGTTTTGGTCTTAATACGCTCAATATGGGCCTAATAAGGCATCAGTACCACAAGAATAGTAATTCTCCCATAATAACACCTAACAGATATTATCTATTCTTATGTAACAAGACATGAAACTACAAGTGTTAGTTGTGTCAAAATAACTTAAAATGAGGTATTTCTAACTCAGAATATGTTCCCTAATAAACTAGAAGTTTGGCTCTAATAATCCCGAAGGAAATTGTTGTGCCATCGTTACAAAAATACAATACAAACACAAACAGCATAAAAGTAAAACTGTACACTAACAGTGAAGTAAAAAGAGCAATTAAATATCTACAGGAAACATAGATGGTCACATCATTAATGTAAAGATTAACAGTATTTAGTAGTGCAACAAAACGTAGTGGCAGATACGTAATTGCATGTTATCATAGAACATTATTAATATGCATGTTAATTAACAAATGAAGCTCAGCACAAGTTCAACCAGGAAGACCGTCTTTTCTCATTTACTATTTCCATGTTCTCTCTATTTACACTCTCTCTCCTCTCAATAAGTGATCGGGGGCGTCACTCCCCAGCTTAACCAATCACTTCGCTCTATTCTCACAAGCCTATCATAGCCCCTGACAGCTGTCCTTTCAGGTGACTCGACACAACCCTCCTCCACCCCTTTTCACCTCCTGTCCCTCTGAATCCAGGGTCAAGCTAAGCCCCTCCCCTTCAGACCAAACCCAACTACCCATACACCATCACCAGGGTCAAGCTAAGCCCCTCCCCTTCAGACCGAACCCAACTACCCATCCACCACCACCAGGGTCAAGATAAGCCACTCCCCTTCAGACCGAACTCAACTACCCATTCACCACCACCAGGGTCAAGCTAAGCCACTCCCCTTCAGACCGACCCCAACTATCCATTCACCACCACCAGGGTCTAGACCCCGGGGGGTTTAATCGGATCGGTTCTCCCCTCCCGAATGATACTCCTGCACAACGGGGCCTAATCGCCAAAACTCCATTACATTCATTTGTGTATTCCTGGCAATAAATATGTATTCTTACATCAAAACCGTCTCTCCTGATTGAACTAGTTGATGGTGAATATGTGTACCTTAATCTAAAGTGTTATCCAAATGAAATGTGAGTTTACCTCTTTGAGTGCCACGACGCCCACCAGCTTCCCAATACTGGTGACGTAGGCGTGGCTGAGCCCCAGCAGAGAGAACAGGGTGTGGGTCTGAGGGAGAGAGAGGACAGTCAGGGGTTAATCTCAATCTTTATTTATTTAATGTGTTGTAGTGTGATGGCGTTCTGTCTGCATGGCTGCACGGCACCTCATAAACAATGTGTCCCGAAGAGAGGACTTATAGGGAGAAATACAGCACCAGGTAACGGAATTCAAATTCAGGATTTTAAAGATTGAGGAAGTTGGGGAACTCAAAATAAAATGTAGAAGAGAGACCTCCAAACTTTGTATGTGTCAAGGGTCAAGCTCCATAATAACTGGATCCTACAATTCCCATGCTGCAATTTTTTCTAAGAAGACCATCCCTCCGAATGTTTCATTAAACCCTAGTCTGTGACTCTAGTTCACTTTTAAAAATGTCTAGTTTCTAAGCATAAGCTGATACAAACCCTGACATTTACAACAACTTTACAACAGTTTTTATAGGATAAACCTGACATTGTTGAAGGGCCCCTTTAAACTGTTGATAAAAGAGAGTTAGAACAGAAGAGTACAAGCAGAACCACACAGTAATTAGGAATGTCCAAAAATAATTAAATGAAAGTGAGAATTCAATAAATGAAACGTTTTAAAATATACTTTGACGTTGTGGGAGATCATTTTAAAACACCATCTTGCCGAGAGTTAAATTAGAAGATTGCTACCACTCTAATGTTTTATGCATGACCCATGAAACAACATCCAACAAACAGTTAGCTTAGCTTAGCTTAAAGGTCAACTATTTTGCAAAATCCACGTTTTCATGTCTTCTATGCATAAATATGTGTATAAGAGAGATTTGGAAAGTATCAGGAACAAAGATTCTCTCTCTTTTTGTTGATCCATTTATATAAAAACCTGTCTGAAAATGAGCTGATCAGATTTTGGCCACTTTATGATGTCATAACGATGTTTTGGCTTGAATAACCATTAGCCAATCACCAACCAAGGTAACCCCCCCCCCCACACCTTATCACCTGAATCTCCTCCTAGAGCACCATTGTGTGTTTTTTAAACCAATCATCTCTCAGAAGGGCGTGGCCAGCAGCAGCTCATTAGCATTTAAAGCTACAGACACAGAATCAGCACTTTTGAAACAGGACTGAAACAGAGGGGATTATGGGATGCTACAATGATATGTTTGGTATTGAGAGCCAATCACTTCAGAGACACGTTTTGTATATATCTGAGACCTATAATACATTGATGAAAAACAGTATAATAGGAGACCTTTAAAGACTGAAAACTTGCTAGATTGATTCTGTCCAACTGTAAGCAGGATTCCTAAGCACGGATTCAGACCACAAAACAACCTCAAGGCCTGCATCGGTTGTGTTTCAGATTCCTGTGAGCTCCAATGCATCAAAGAGATGCAGTTGGAGTAAGGGATGAATGTGTTGAGAGGGTTTATCAGTGGGGATGGCACGGTAATACTTATTCAGGTCTGTTAATAATGCATTTGTACGGATAGACTTTGCAAAACCTAGCCTTCTAAAAACAAACATCGTGCTCCAACTGTTAAACATTATTCTACTCTCCTAAAGGAAGAGATTCATGGCCGACAACAACATGACCCATGTATGCAACACTGCTGCTGCTTCTTTCTATTTAAAAATATATTTTGCAGCATTTTTAAAGATTGGTCAGCCCCAATTAAAGATGAAATACTAGATTTAAAGTGCAACTTTGTGCCAAAGCTGAAATCTGGGGAGTTATAACAAGATTTCATGCAAAATACTGAAATATCGATCACTCAATGTAGCCTATACTGTACATCGATAGTTTAGTCAAAGGGATTTGTATCCGATTACACTTTTCTTTCAGCTTTCATCCAATGATTTTGTCTAGTTTCGACCAATACAGCACCTCACTACATACAATATCAAATGTCCAAACACTGCATAACGGTTTTTAATACTCAGAGACAAAATATATCCACTAATGTTTGTTTCATTCATACAAAAACTGGAGTATTGTCCCCAAATTTCAACCTATTCATTTAAAATCTTCCGCTTAAAAATGTAAAATGGTAAGTGCCCATGACTTGTGATTGCATAATCAGTGTCTGTATATGATCTTTGTATGAGACATCGTGTCCGCCAGGTGTTTCCGGGCTCACCTTGTGCAGCGAGGTCCTCTCCACCAGCTGAAAGGGGGAGGGGTCTATCCGGATCTGCTCCATATCGATTGGTTTATCCAGCTCCTCCTCTTCCCACGCTTTAATCTGCATCAGCCAATCACAGAGGCAGAGAGACAGACTCAGAGTACACAGTGTTTATAATTATTGATAAGCATTGATTGGTTGTTACACTGTTGGATGTGTGGAAGGTAAATCAATAGGGGTCAGTACCTCCTCTGGAGACATGGGGTCCGTCAGCGTGGGGGCGGCGGTCTCCTGAGGAAGAGGGAGAGATGGTGTTTCAATGTTATTTATCTTAAACCTTCAAATTTCAATTTTGCTGTTTTTGCGATTTGAAATAACATCAATTATGAGACTAGATATAATCTTCAATTTCGGAAAGTCATTTTGCATCTTTTCCTGGTTTCAAACTATCTCTTATCTTTTTAATGTGTTTGTTTGTGTTGATAAACAAACACACAGATGGACAGGCAGTCAGTTTGAAATGCAGACGATGATAAGATGGCCCCTGCTGGTTTCACTTCACAACATGTCCTCCTCTCCTTCATGTTTGCATCATGTCACGCTCCTTCATGTGAGGTTGACGCTGTCTGAGCTGTCGCTGCTACCTCGACAGCGGAGCAGTAATACACACTCAGAATTTAGAGGTCAGAGGTCAAGAGCGTTTGAGGCTGATGTTACCTGAGGTTCAGCCTGACCCGACAGAGAGGTGGAGGAGAAGAGCCTCTGAAGAGCTCCTCTGACAGATGGCAGCCTGCGCTTGTCTGGAGGAAATGGTACAGAAACACTCAACTTGATTTATTCATAATTCACCTGTTTTACATACATGCAGACCCAAGTGGTGAAGGGGAAGGTATGTTTATTTATACAGCACATTTTCATACACAAAAAAAGTGTTGCAGCAGCATAAAACAAAACGAGGCATTGCACATAATAACAAATCAAAAGAGTAGAAATAAAACTAAAATATGAACATCTTAAAATAGAAATAGAAATAAACGAGGATTAGAAAGTAAGGAAATGATACAGATGACCGTGAAGATAACCAATCTAGAAACTGTCTGACAAATAAAAACACTATTGAAGGATGCACCTGTCCGTACAGCATGTTACATTATATTTAATAGAGCGGTGCAGGGATGACGTATTTCCGTAGGCCGACCTGGAAGTAAGCTGCGCATGGGTTCCCTCGACAAAAAAAGCAACGGGATTTCTCCATAGGATTTTGGAAAATAGCTCGAAATAAGGTCTGTGGAAAACGAACCTGTTTGATGAATGCACGTTTTGTTCAGCCGGATAATATCCACATGTATAATTTTCGAATCATAAATCTAATCGCCAGAAGCTAAATGCTAAAGTTATGCTATAAACAAACTACAGCCGAGTGCAGCAGGGTCGCTGCTTCAACGTCACGCCAACTTAAGATCCATATTCAAACATACAGATTCTAAATGGTACGAGTTGAAGCGTTTGTTTTAACAGTTTGCAGGAGGCAGGTACTTGCTTTCAAGCAGAACATGGCAAACATACTTATCGGAGTGTTTAGGTGTTCGGTGTAATGATTTACAACGGCCTCCACAACTTCTGTAGTCCTATTCAGCCACTTGTTAACAACCATCGTTTTTCCGAAACGTAAACTCTTCAGAAATCAACAGT